ATCCAGTTTTCAGTTCTGTCTCAGGGGTAATTTTTCCACGAGTAGTTGTAAATTGGCTGTGTCCACGGGAGGAGGTGAGTTCAGAGTCTGCCTACGCAGCCATCTTGACTTCCTCTCCTGTTTTGTGTTTCTTTTGTTTTGTTTTTGTAGTCATGATAATGGCATTTGCAGACTTGACATATGAACTTTCTTTCAACCATCTCATTCCAAAATGGAAAACATTTTCTTTTTTTGTTGAGATATAATTGACATATAACATTATATTAGTTTCAGCTGTACAACATAAGGATTCCATATTTGTACATACTGCAAAATGATCACCACAATATGTCTAGTTAACGTCCCTCACCACACGTAGTTACATGTTTTTTTCCTTGTGACGGATAGAAAATGCTTTCCCTATGGGATCCTTAGGGGGTTGTGCTTGACCCACAAGTCCACAAGTCACGTTGAGGAGAAAGGCTTTATTTTCTTCTTTTCACTGTAGGATATAAGACTGAAAATTGGGCCACAAGCTGAGAATCAGCACTCTTTCCAATTTTCCTAGAGACAAGGACCCACCCCTCCACCATTCCACTCAGTTCTCCAACACTCTCTTCGCTTTCCCCAGTTTATTAATTCTCGTCTATCACCATGAAGCTTGAGAACTCCATTAGAATATAATAATATAGAAAAAAAAACATATATCCTCCTGGCAACATTTTGAGGTGGAGATTACTGCTTCTGTTTTTGTGTGTGTGTGTGCAAGGAAGATCAGCTCTGAGCTAACATCCCTGCCAATCCTCCTCTTTTGGCTGAGGAACACCAGTCCTGAGCTAATATCTATTGCCAATCCTCCTCCTTTTTTTCCTTTTTTCTCCCCAAAGCCCCAGTAGACAGTTGTATGTTGCAGTTGCACATCCTGATAGTTTCTGTACGTGGGACGTGGCCTCAGCATGGCCAGACAAGCGGTGCGTCGGTGTGCACCCGGGATCCAAACCCGGGCCGCCAGTAGCTGAGCACACGCACTTAACAGCTAAGCCACGGGGCCGGCCTTATTGTTTCTATTTCAAAGCTAAGAAACTGATGGTCAGTTAAACTGGAACTTGTTCAAACACAACTTTGTAAGAGTATAGTAAACATTTGGAGTTGGGCTGGGCTGGGGTCATCCTTTATACTCCATACTATATGAATTAAATGTCAACTCTATTCTATTGTATCAATAGGGGATATTCCGCCTGGAATTAGAAATATTATCTGCCTTATGCAACGTGGAACCTGCAGACTTTTCTTCTGCCATTCTGGGGAGAAAAAGGGTGAAATCTGCTCTGATCCCTGGAACAGGTGCTGCGTACCTAATGCAAAGGAAGAGAGAAAAGATAAACCAGAGATGGATGGCGAGTCTGGCACCTAAAACGTAAGATTTCGGAAGGCAGGCGGGATCCTGAAGTGTCCCAAGGGCTTAGAATAATGTGTGGCTGGAGCAGGTGCTTAATAAACACTTGTTGAATGAGTCTAGCACCAAGGGTGGAGGTCTGATGAAAGAATTTTCCTAAAAGCTTATTTACTTTATCTTTTTCTGTTTTTTTTTTAAAGAGTCTCAGAATTCTGTAATATTCCATCTCCTTTTCCTGTTCCAAAGAGCATCACTTACCTACCCACAGACGGGGGTGGACCAGAAACCAGGCTTCAAACTGATCTCATCTGAGAGAGACAGAAATGCAGCCAATATACTGGCCTCTCTTCCACTAAATGACATCTTTCTTCTCATCAAATCTAACACCAGCCTCATCCTACTTATTCCCAGGCTGTAATAAGCCTTGTACCTTTTCCATGGCCTCCTCAAGTAAATCACAATAGGTCACATGTAATTAGGATTTGATTGTTTTTAAATATTTATGCTTAGGTTATCTCACCTGATTAACACCACAATCTTATGGCGTATGTAATAAGGTATAAGGAGTTCCGTTTTAGAGATGGGAGGAAAGTGAAAATCAGAAGGTTAAGCAAACTGCCTCAGGTCAACAATCCATAGTGGGAGTCTTGGTATGCCTAACCAGCTAAGTGCTCCTTGTTCTTTGTCACTTCTCAAGAACATATTTCCGAGCAACTAAAGCAAAGCGGGGCTCCTGTTCATGAAGATTCCCTGAGCTTACAACCCTTTGCTCTTTGCTTTTCTTTGGATCCTGTTCAAACATATTGTCCCCACCATATCTTTGAGCCAGTCATCCCAAGAGTAGTGAATATTAATTACAGGTGAGAAATGTAAAACAAAATAATAAAAGTAAAATGTGCTGATGTATGAGACCATATGCCAAGGTTTTTCGAGACTAATAGCTTGATAAGATACTTTGTTTCAGTATTTTTGTTCACTGCCTGAATCAAGTTTGCTCATGAATAGCTGAACTTACTCCAAGAGTCACCAAGAAAATAATGCTTCTGGGTCCTGTCTCTATTCCCAGCTCAAGTTTCAATGAACACTGCAGTAATGCCTTGGGCTTTTCCCCAGTCTTTTCTAAACTCACTCTTGTTTTTTATTTTCTAAATATAATCAAATAGACCCCTGGGATTTATGCAGTGGAGCATCTTTTAAGCACAGGAATCTCTATGGAGCCCTCTCTCATGCCCTCAGAGGGCAGAGGACCTGGTCCAGACCTGGTGTGAATGCCTGCCTGGGAAGGGGATTGGCCTTGGGGTTTTTTTTTGCTACCAAGTGAAACACAGCAAATCTTCATGCTTCAGGTCAGGGAGACACATACTCTGCCAGAAGTGTCATCACTCCATGTCCAGTGCCTCTGTCCACCAGACATGAAAGGATGGGCCAGTGCCCAGAACACTGCAGAACTACAGTCTGGTTCCACCTCCTTCAGTAAGCATGTGCCATTAGCCAACCAGTCCCTCTCTTGGCCTCACGTCCCTAAAAAACAAAAGGAGGTCCTGGTCTAGACCTCCGAGACCGCATCACAGCCTATCATGTGGGTGTACAATCAGTACCTCATCAGTGATCCCAAGTAGGGTCTCTATCAAGTGAAACAAGGATAGGGAACCCGTCCCACCTGCCTCCTCCCTGGCATTGTCAGGGGAGAGCCTGTTGGGAACCCACAGCAGAGTCCAGGGCAGGTCAGCAGGAGATTTGCACAAGGCCCCAAACTACACTGTTAACATTTTTCTAATGGAAACATTTTCTAGTAGAAATTGGGCCTGGTCTGGCCTTCATTGTGGAAAATGGGAAACTTCTCTGAAAGGAGTATTTGCATACCCCAGCCAGATATGGTAGAAAAGAGGGAGTCACAGCATTGTCTGGCACAAAACATGCTCCACAGTTTGCTGAGACTGAGGAATGCAAATATGAAGGGAAGGGAAGGAAGACCAGGGTGAGGAGGGTGTCCAGGGTGTCTTTGGTGGCCAGTATTGGAGTTAATCTGATCCTTTATTGCATCCTATGAAAACCCCCCCTATGAGGCATGGGGAAGACGCCGACTGGGCCAGGCAGAGACCTGAAGGTCCCAGGGACCTGGATTCAGGTTCTTGCTCCGCCTTTCTGAAATATTGGGCAAGTTACTTCATCTCCATAGCACCCATTTCCCCATTTTTAAAATAATCTGGTCGAACATAGTCCTAAAAAGCGCCGGTATGGTTCTCAGATGATGTGCAGCGCCAAACGCTGACCGTTTTTGAAAGCCAGAAAAGACCTTGGCAAGGCGGGCAAATGTCAATACCAACACTTACCACCAGAGGGCGAGCCGCCACCCTCAATGCCTGCAAACTCGGTTTTGTTAAGGGATTGCGACGGGGCTAAAGAGAGCAGCAGCTGGGAATAAAAGCCAGGCGGAGAGCAAAGGGAGCCTGAATTTTCCACACTTGTAGCCTGCCTTTCTTGGCATTAATTAAATTATAGTGTCTCGTTCATCTCCGCCCTCCACAGAGTACTACTATAGCTTTGTGGAAATGCACCGAATTGAATCCAGACAGAATCGACCAGCATATTTATTAAAGCATCCGTGTGCCTCTCTTCTTATTTGGGGGGAGGTCCGGGCCAGCAGCAGAGCTGTGGGTAATGAAAGCTGAGCCTGCCCGCTTCCTGCTGCTGCCTGTCTTCTGGAGTGGCACGGCGCCGAGCGCCCTCAGCTGTAGGGAGGCGGCTCTGAGCTGCAGAAACACAGCAGGCTCAGAGGAGGATCTGTGGGTTCTAACCCAGGTCTGCCACTCAGCTGTGCTCGGTGCACTGCCTCCCCCGGGGGCTTATGTGAGCGACTCAGACAGGATTGTAAGCGCACATACGAATAGAAAGCAGTGCTTGCGTTCACTCCATCCTGCCCTTGGATCCCAGATCTGTTTTCGACTTGGGGATTTACCTGCCCTTTCCTTGCTCTGAGATGCCTCCAGCAAGCGATCAGGGGCAGCTGAGAGGAGGCGCCGGCAGACCCAGGACTTTGGTAAGCTTCTTTTCTCGGTGGAACTGGCACTAGGAGCATGAACCCTCCACTGACCCAAGGAGGGGTTGGTGGTGGTTTGAGGCCCAGGGCAGCCAGTGGGAGCAGAGGGACCAGGCTGGGTCCAACAAGGGTCCAGTGTTTTATACTTGGGAAGTGTTTACACTCCTTCATAGCTCCTTTCTCTGAGACAAGAATAATTATCCCCATTGTATCTCTCCGAACGTCCTCTGCTGAGATGACTCAGGAAGTAACTAGGAATGACAGAGGCGTTCCCTCCCTAAATTCAACTGGGCGCGAATGTCCCCTCCACTTGTAACTTCCCTACCCCTCTCCCCTGTGCCCTGCCTGGCAGATCAACTGCTGTAGCTCTGTGCCCCTCAGGTGCTTTGGTGCCTTCCTATTATAGTACCTGTCCCTGGGCCGCCACTGTTCACTTACATGTCTGGACTAGAAATCCTCAAGGCAGTACTGGCTCTCTCTCATGTTTATACCTTTAGTGACAGCCAAGCACAAGCAGTATGAATTAGGTGAAGGAATAAATGAATTAATGCAAGCCTCATACACAGATCTTCTTCAATCCATCACTGCCGTCCCTTCTGATCCAAAGGCAGTATGTGGGGCTACCAGAGAACTCCAGACACTCCACACTGACCATTGCCACATCCTCATCACAGCCTGAAGCCTGCACCCCAGACTCTTCTCTCACGACCCTCTAGGAAGTGGGACCTAGCCCAGGCTAGCTCTGCGCTATTACAGGGCCTCACAACTGAGCCTGTAACCCGTTCATTTTCAGGGAGTTTAAAGGCTCCCACCGCTGTCCCCTTCCTCACTGGGCAGCAGAAGTAAAGGAGAAAGGGTTGGAGAAGCCATGAAGAGTGCCCCTGGATGCAGAGTCTCAACAACAAGCATTTCCCTGCTGTCCCCTGACCCTCAGTCACAAAATCTTAGACAAAAAAAGGACCCAAGAGATCCTTTAACAAAACCATCCCCTCTGACAGGCAGCACGTTGTCAGGGAACAACTCCAAACAGGAGTCAGAACTCCCGAGTTCTAGTCCTGAGCCGCCCATCCTGGTCAGCCTCATTGAGTCTCAGGCATCTCATTTGTAATTTGGGCGTAAGTTTTGTATTCGCTGGTTTCAAATGACAAAGCACCCGTGAAATTCTTTGTGAATGATAGAGTACTGGAACCATATAAGTGATTAATTTTATCTGATGTTTGAAGCTTCTTAATTCAAATGAGATGTAGCAAAAATGATTTGAGATTGGTTTTCAGTGTGGAAATAGTTTGCAATATGTTTGAATACCAATAGGTGGAGTGATTTAGTAATCAAAATACACACATACGCATGCATGTACACATTTACGTAAGGTCTTTCTCTACATAACTGTAGCCTGAATGGGTTTTTCAATCACCTATGGGTGAAACAGTCCCTCACATTAGTCCGATGTCTATTATCTTTTGGAGTTCATCTGGACTCTTCAGACAAAGGCACCTGCCCTCCCCATGTCTTGGAATCTTTGAGCCCAGGTAGGCTGTGGAGAAAGGTGAGATTCTTGTCCCATCACCTGCCTCTAAAGATCTCATGACAATACCATGCTGGGGAGGTGAGCATGCTAATATCATTAAGAATTCCTCCAGGCCAAACCCTATATCCTCACACTAGGCATAGTTGGGCAGCATAGCCCTCCCAGAGCAATTATCTATCATCTAAAAATCATACTTTCCATGGAGACACTGCATCAGCAAAGGGATGAGGTGGGTTTTTAACAAAACCAACAAGAAAATCCTTCAAAATAGTCCTTTTGGGAGACCATAGGCCACATGCTTTAACAATCATGTTGCAATAGCTCAATCTATTAAAATTCATCTTTTGGAACTGTCATTGGACTCTTCCTCCATGAATTACAAATAATACTGTCTTCACAGAAAGAACCTAGTTTAGCACGATCGTGTATTTAGCAGCTGAGGCCCCTGGA